CTTGAATCTAGTCTAGAAGGCTCAACATTTTCTGATTTTTGGCCTAGTTCTCCAAACTTTCTATCTTCCTACCCATATCCTTGTGGACCAACAGCCTTTTTAAAATGTTTCCAAAGTGCCACACTCTCTTCTTCCTCAGTCTAAACACACCCTGCTGTTTTTCACCTGGGAAGCTACATCTGATCTATTAGGTCTCTGGTCAAATAATAATTCATCAGAAAATTCTTTTTTGACCATCTGTCTAAATCAAGTCCCTGTTATACCCTCTTATTCATTTGTTCATACATTAAAAAATATTTATTAAATGCCTTCTTTGTTCCAAGCATTAATCTAGATCTTCAGGGACAAAATCTAATAGGTAGATGGGCATTTGTGTGTGTTTATACATTTGTGTGTGTGTGTGTGTGTGTGTGTGTGTACATATAGTTGCTCAATATTTTTTATAGAAATTAATGTGGAAACAAAACCTTTTTAGGTCTTTGGTATAAATGGAGTGATGAGGAGATGAAAATAGGATTAGGCCTATTTGAGGTGGGTTTTCAGGGTAGATCTAGGATTATAGGAAAATAGATATCAGTTCAAAATAATGAAGGGTGAACAAATTAATAGAACTATCTGGAAATAAATTTTAAAATAAAACCCTTCAAGATTTTGAGTTTTCCTTGGCTCTCTATATTTAAGCAAAGGCTAGATAAGTAGAGACTGGTCATTTTGTGGAGGGAAATTGAATTGGTTTTCTATTGTATGTCACAAATTATCACAAAATTGGTAATTTAAAACGACATGGATTTATTCACACACAGTTCCGTTAAGTCAGGTATCTGGGCATGCTGTGCCAGCATTCTCTACTCAGGGTCTCACAGCTGAAACCAAGTTGTCAGTCAGCTGTACTCTCAGGTAGAGCTCAGGCCCTCTTTTAAGCTCATGTGGTTGTGGCAGAATTCAGTTCCTTAAAGTTGTCAGACTGAGATCACTATTTCCTGGCTGGCTCTTAGCCAAAGGCTGCTCTCAGTGACTAGAGATGGCCTCAACTCTTTATTAAGTGGTCCCCTCCTTCTACAAAGCCAGCAGTGGAGAAATTTTTGTGCATTTAATATATCTTTTGCTTAATATATCTTACTTTCTCTTTCATAACTAGCCAAAGAAAACTCTGTGCTTTTATAGGACTCATGTTATAAAATCAGGCCCACTGGATAATCTCTCCCTATTTTAAAGTAAACTTATTTGAATTCTTAATTACAACAGCAAGATTTCATCACATCAGCACCTATATCAGTGTTTGGTAGAAACACTGGAAGAAGCTATGTGTATAGTGGCCAATAATCTTAGGGGACATCTACCTACATAAGGGTGAGACATAAAAAGACAAGTTGACCAAGATCATCTCTAAACTTCTTTCAAATTCTGATTCTCTGATCTTCTAATTCATTTGCCTGTTCTATGGATTCAACCACCAAAATAGACCTAAAACTTTACTTTCTCCATGTTGCTACCATATTGTTTCTTCTTTCTGAACAAATCAAATGGTCTATGAATTTGTTCCTTTTCCATTTGTGCAATTGCCCAACAGGACTTGATAAAATGGACTTCTTAACATCTTATTCTGACAACTTGATGGTTTCCCATTGCCTGACAAGCTATCTGCAAGTCCCACAGAAACATTATGTCCCCAGGTCATTGTGCAGTCTTTCTATTTATAATTGCCAATATGAATTGTAAACTATGGTCGCAGTTAGCTTAGATTGCATTACTCCTTAGATTAGGTACAGCCGTAGGCAAACTACGGCCTGCGGGCCGGATTTGGCCGTTTGAAATGAATAAAACTAAAAAAAAAAAGACCGTACCCTTTTATGTAATGATGTTTACTTTGAATTTATATTAGTTCACACAAACACTCCATCCATGCTTTTGTTCCGGCCCTCCGGTCCAGTTTAAGAACCCATTGTGGCCCTCGAGTCAAAAAGTTTGCCCACCCCTGCCTTAGAATCTCTGCCTTTTACAATCAATGAAATCCCATATCACATGCTATCTTTTCTCTTAAAACTTATCCAGAATCCCCAAGCCAGTCAAGTTTCTCTGCTTTGTGTTAAAATATCTTGAAAATATGTCTTTTCTTCAAGTAGTTGAGTTCAAACATAGTGATTGAGGAATTTGACTGAATTATGGGAATTCTACTTTTTAGCCAATTCAAAATTTATTCTATAAAGATAATTTTTTCTTAAAAAATAATTTTTCTCTAATAGTTTCCCACATAACTAAAGATATAAGAGGGAGGGTGTTATAAGTAGTACATCACTGTTCTGTTTGCAATGATCCTTTAAAGATTAATGTTTGCTTAAATGCAGTAATATTTGATGATAAATATTTAATATTTGAAAACAGAGTAATTAAATTTGGTCAATTTAATACAATGGCTATAAGTAATCTCCTACTTGTTTTCATTGCATTAGACTTTCTCTTCTCTTCCAGATTTAGGCAAATATACAGCAATCTGTCTAGATAATCCAGTAAAAATTTAAGAGGAAATCTAAAATTTCAACTCAAGTCTAGACCTCTCTTCAGAACTCCAGACTCATGCAACTATATACTATTTCACATCTCCTTCTGGATATCTAATAGGCCTTTCACAGTAAACATACTAAAAATCAATTCTCAATCTTTCTTCCCAAAGTTTACTCCTTACATAGTCATCCCCCTCTTGGTTAACGGCGATTTCATCTTTCTTTTGCTCAGTCCAAAGACCTTAGCATTTCCCTCTACTCCTCTCTTTCTCTTACAAACCACATGCCATACATCAGCAAATCCTATTAGTGTTCCTTTAAATTAGATTTAGAATCTCAATACTTCCTGTCATTTTTGCCACTACATTACTGGTCTAGGCCATCATGATCTCCTATGTTGACTTTACAATAGCCTCCTAATTATTCTCTCTCTTTTCACCCTTGTATCCCTTAGTCTATTCACAACACAGTAGCTTGAGTGATTCCATGAAAACATATATTAGAGCCTATTACTTCTCTATTCAGATTAAAGTAATTGTAACTTACAACATTGTACCAGTACATAATCTGTCTTTCAGTATTTTTTCTTAGACCTTAACTCCTAGTAGACACACCAGCCTCTATGTTATTTTTCAAATATACCAAGCATGGTTCCAACTTAGGGTCCTTAATAATGCATTTTCTTCTGCTGGGATGATCTTCCCCAAAATTTTCACTTTTACTTTCCTCACTTTTATCAGAAACATCATGTTTTCTAATCAGTGAGGCCTTCTCTAACTACTCAATTAAAATTTCAATATCTCTGTAATTCTTTCTCCTTTTTTGCTTCCTTATTTTCCTCCACAACACAAATCATCATCCATAGTACTGTATCTGATACTTACTTATACTTTTATTGTATACTAGAGGCCCAGTGCATGAAACTGTGCATAGGTAGGGTCCCTAGGCCTGGCCAGGGATCAGGGCTATTTGGGCCTTCCTTCACCAGCTGCCAGCTGTCAGCTGTTGGCCGGGGCCTTCTTTCATTCTGAACTGCCCCCTGGTGGTCAGCGTGCATCATAGCGAGTGATTGAACTCCCGGTCTCCTGATCCAACTCCCGAGGGGACACTTTGCATATTAGCCTTTTATATATAGATAGATAAACCTCCTTAATGTAAATTACACAAGGGTAGGGACTTTTGTTTGTTTTCTTCATTGTATTCCCTGCAACTACAATATTACTTGGAACAATTGGGTACTCATTTGTATTAAATGTTGAATTCATATGATATGTTTAGGAGTGAGTGAGTTTTCTATTTATTAATTATCTTACTTTTAAGTTTGCATATAGTTTTTATGAATTATGCCATTTCCATACAAGTCATTGTTATCATTCATTCTATCTCAGCCTTCTGAGCAAAAGCCCTTGCATATAGGCATCTTTGAAGGAAGTATCCATACCACTTAGTATATTGTTCTTTCATATTTCTAATCATAACATGCTTATATTTTTTATCCAATAAATGGCTATTTCTTTTAAAAAAAAGACATAAACCTTATGTATCTTTAATCCCTACATAGGCTCCAAGCCTGGCACATGGTATGCATATAGCAAACCAATAGTTAATATGAAATCTAATAAGTGAGTTCAAGTAGGAGCATGTATTATAGGTGATATACAGATGTCTTGGTCTGAGTATTAATATCAGTGTGCTGGATGATATTCTAGAAAGGGTTTTGTTAATTCTAAATATGTGCAAGATAAAATAAAAATGAACTAGATATTAATCTATTTAATAATCTTTTTTATTTTAAATTATTTTATAATCAACATTTACTATATATAAGATGCCCTTGTGTCTGTCTAGACCAGTGGTTCTCAACCTTCCTAATGCTGCGACCCTTCAATATAGTTTCTCATGTTGTGGTGACCCCCAACCATAAAATTATTTTCATTGCTACTTCATAACTGTAATTTTGCTACTGTTATGAATCGTAATGTAAATATCTGATATGCGGAAGAAACCAAGATGGTGGCATAGGTAAACACTGGAGATTGCTGCCGCAAACAACCACTTCAAAAATACAAATAAAAGACGGAACGGACATCACACAGAACATATAAAGAAGATGGCCAAAGAAGATGGCCAAACATTTAAATATAGAATGTTTTTCTTAGGAACTGAACATTAAACATTAAGACCATACCTAGGGAAGGACATAGGACTATATGAGCATGCAAGATTTTTGTACCAGTGCTTGTATATGAAGCAAAAGTTTATATTGTAAATGAATTGGGGAGCAAAACTAGGAATAAAAATAATCACAATTATTTTGTCTTCTACCTCTTTGAACCTGTGGTCTCTGTAGCACCAGCTTAATATTAATCTCAGGGCAATTGTAATAAGACAATGTCACTAGTTACATTATAAGTAGTATTTTTAAATCCAATCTTTTACTTCTGTTTACAAAATGTTTGGTAATTCCAATGACTTTGTATTTTTCTCTTTAATTTTTAGTTCCCAGTGTTCCCACAAATATTGCTTTTTCTGATGTTCAGTCAACTAGTGCAACATTGACATGGATGAGACCTGACACTATCTTCGGTTACTTCCAAAATTACAAGATTACCACTCAACTTCGGGCTCAAAATTGCAGAGAATGGGAATCTGAAGAATGTATCGAATATCAAAAAATTCAATACCTCTATGAAGCTGACCTAACTGAAGAGACAGTATATGGCTTAAAGAAATTTAGATGGTACAGATTTCAAGTGGCTGCCAGCACCAATGCCGGCTATGGCAATGCTTCAAGTTGGATATCTGCACAAACCCTGCCTGGCCGTAAGTTTTGTCCTGTATATGTACATATATTTTTGCATTCAAGAAAAAGTTCTTTAATTGATTTTCCATGGGAAGTACTCAAAGTATAGGTAAAGATTGCTCTTACAACTTAAATTTTATATTTTAAAATTAACTGCCTTACTTGCTGTGACATCATTAATGTTAAGTAAATAAATTTCTATTATTATCTTCTGAACATTGTCTACATAGAATTGTGATGGTTTTCATGCAATATATATATGTCCCCCCAAAATGTATACACACTTTGAATGATTATAAAGTCAGTGTTTATTAGCATACAGTTCATTTTCAAACTGATGACCATTCTTGTCCAGGCACTGCTGACAATACCAAGCAATGGAATCACAAACATCAATAATAATTTAATTTGGTATTTTTGTGCCCTCAATTTGTCAACTGTTGCTGGTTTTGTACCATAAACTTTATCTTTTATGTATCCCATAAAAAAATCAAGTGGCACTTTAGGACAAATTTTCTTAGATCAAAGCTTAATCAGGCTTCACCCATTATTTCAAATCAGTTAAAGCTGAAAAGGAGTGACAATTAAGTGAGTTATCAACTGTTAAGGTATGGATTCATTTTTGTGAACAACCTATATATACAGGAATAAGAGTATATATTATATACATATATATGTATCTATGCATATGTTATATATCATTATATATCACACATACTGTTTTCTGTTGTAGTTTATAGCTATGTGTTGATTTCTACTTAATTAAATTGTGTAAAAATCACTGAACATAAAAATTACTGAGTTAGTACACAAACTAACTCATGTAATAACACATTTACTTTTTTAAAAAATTAAATCTTTATTGTTCAGATTATTACAGTTGTTCCTCTTTTTTCCCCCATAGCTCCCCTCCACCCAGTTTCCACCCCACCCTCTGCCCCTACACCCCCCCACTGTCCTCATCCATAGGTGTACAATTTTTGTCCAGTCTCTTCCCGCACCCCCTACACCCCTTTCCTCCCCAAGAATAGTCAGTTGACTCCCTTTCTATGCCCCTGATTCTATTATATTCACCAGTTT